CCTAACAAATTCTTGGTGATGTGCTCATGAAGTCACTAAGTACCACAAACAGAGTAGCTTAAAAGGGATTTTACAGGTATTTTTGTTTTCAAAATGAATGTGATTCCTAACTTAAGGTAATTAGTGTCAGGATACAAAGAGTATGGAAAATAAGGACTCCCTGTTTCTGAGTTTACTATAGTGACATTTTGGATAGTGAGGGCAAGGATCTATGTTGCTGCATTGTTTTTCACGGGGGAAAAACTGGAAATAACCTAAATTCCCATAACAGAAGAGTGGGGGAAAAAATGGGGCCTACTGGCCCAGGACTATCCAGTGTTGGGACGGAGTGAAGTAGCGGTGATGTTCAGCTGTTTGCCTGGCATGGCACCAGAGAGGGCAGTCATGCAGCAAGAATGGCTCTCAGCTGTTTCGTCCTTTGTTCTCTGCTCTGCATTAATTGCCAGACCTGGAGGAGGTCCTGGGGGACTGGCTGGGGGAAGCAGCTATTTTACTTAACTAGTATAGAAGTAGTTCATTTAAAAAAAATTAGTACCATTAATACTAGATTGGCAAATGTGATGAATATTCATTCTTCTTATATGTATCCATATAGAAGAGTTGCAAAGATGTATTGAGTGAAAAAATTATGATGCAAGCAGATATTAAGTGTATCAGTTTACTAGTGCTGCCATAGCAAACTGGGTGGCTTAAAATTAACAGAAATTGATTGTTACTGTTCTGGAGACTAAAAGTCCAAGAGTGTGGTGTCAGCAGGGCCATGCTGTCTCTGAAGGACCTAAGGGACCTTAGGTGATTCCTTGTCTCTGTTATCCATCCTTTATGTTCTTTCGTTTGCAGCTGCATCCAGCCTCTCATCATGTGGCCTTTTCTTATGTGCCTGTCTTTCCTCCTGTCTTTTATGGACACCAGTCCTATAGGATTTAGGGCCCACCCTAATCCAGTGTAATCTCTCTTGATTGTATCTACAAAGACCATATTTCCAAATAAAGTCTCATTGACAGGTTTTGGGTGACAAAGACCATATTTCCAAATAAAGTCTCATTGACAGGTTTTGGGTGACTGGAGGACACTATTCAGTGTGATACATTATGATGTTTATGTAAACTAGAAACTATACAAAGGAATGCGTGTGTGTGTACATGTGTGTCTGTGCATGTGCACATGTATCAGTTCACACATAAAGTATTTGAAATGGACTGGAAAGATATATTCCGAACTCAAGATAGTGGTTGTTCCTCTTTGGGGGAATAAAATGGAATTTTTATCTTAAAAAATAAAACATTAAGTGTTAATGTTAATAAGACATTAATATCAATTGTGGGAGTATGGAAGTTAACTATTCTTTGTGTTTTTCTATGTCTAAATTTAATTTCTTGAAGAGTTGATATTATATATTACTATGTAATATTCTAGCCTGTGTAACATATGGAAGAAATATATTCAATAAAGACAAATCATTTGGGGGAAAAGGCTGAAAAGAAGCCAAACAATTATATATTTTTTGCAAAGAAAGATATTTTCAGATCCTCCATGGCTTTTTTTCTACATACTATTGAAGTTATTTTAGCATAAAATGATAAATAGATATAATGTGTAATCAAGGTGATAAACCTATAGATATTAAACTATATGAACATTGAATGTAAGAGATGAGAAATTTCTTTTATAAGAACCAAATAAATAGGTCAAGATCTACAGCTAGGTTACCAAGAAAATTTTCTGTATGCTGCCTGTTATATATCAGGGTCCTGTGGGAAGCTGTGTGAGCTCTGTAACTAATTATTTTTAATTTTTCTTAGACACTACCAGAATTTCCAGACGATAATTTACTTTTCATAGTAAGAAAAGATGGACCTTTATGTAAATGCTAAATTGGATTTCTAATTTTCATAGTAACGTCATAAGTTTACTATGTGGATACTTACTAAATATTTACTGAACGTTGAATGAAAAAGACTACTTTTATTCAAAACACTTCTTCCATCCAGTTTTCTAATTGACACACACAGGCAGATGTTAAGAACCAGTGACCTCGGTTTCAAATAAGGGTGGCTTATGATAATTTATTTGTAAACACAGAAGCCAAAGGAGAAGAGAAACCAAACTATATTCAAGCGTATGACCTTTTAAAAGACAGACTCCTCTCACTAGTTGAGCTGCCTGTTGAGTATCCTGGGTTAGTATTCCCCTGGAGACTTAGAGCTGTGGTTCCTAAACTTCTTGGTCTTTACCCTTAAAAATAGTTGAGGACAGCAAATAATTTTTATGCAGAAAATCTTTATGTGGGTTATTGTTCTCTATGTTAACTGTATTAGTAATTAAAACTGACATTTAAAAAATATTTGACTAGTTAATTTAGAAACAATTATTATAATAAACCCATTACGTGTTAGCATCAGTAACAGATTTTTATGAAAGTAACTGTTTTCCGCAAACAAAGATTTAGTGAGAAGAGCAGCATTGTTTTACATTTTTGCAAATCTCTTTAATGAATTGCCTTAACAGAGTCTTAGGTCTCCTTCTGTATTAAATTAATTGTGCTATTAGGCATGTTAGGTAGCCTTCAGAAAACTGAACTGTACACTCATGAGAGAATAAGAGTGAAAAGAAATGTCTTGGTATTAGAAAAGTAAAGTTGCTCAGTCGTGTCTGACTCTCTGTGACCCCTTGGACTGTAGCATGTCCAACTCTTTGCGGCCCCATGGGCTGTAGCCCACCACATTCCTCCGTCCAGCAAGAATATTGGAGTGGGTTGCCATTTCCTTCTCCAGAAGATCTTCCCAACCCAGGGATCAAACCTGGGTCTATTACTAATGTTTCTGTTTTTCTTCTACAGTCCTTCCTCAGTATAAGTGGGGACTGGATCCAGGGCCTGCCGTGGATATTCAAATCTGCAGATATTCAAGTCCCATAGTCAGCCATCTGTATCTGTATCTGAGGATGCAACCACCTAATACAGAGGGCTGACTGTTATGCTTATTGAAAAAAATAACCCCATATAAATGGACCCATACAATTCAAACCCATGTTGTTCAAGGGTCGATTGCAGCCTCTTCTTTCTAGAACTCTTATTAAGTATATTATGGATCTCCACATTTCTCTTATATTTTGTCTTTTTGCCTTTTATTGCTATTGTCTGAGGGGACATCTGAGTTTTGTCTTTCAGATCACAGATTCTCTTTTCCATAGTGCCCATTCTGCTAATTCTTCTCTCTCAAGTTTCAGTCATCACTCTTTTTAACCTTCAGTGGCTTTCCTTCATTCTCTGATTCTCATTTTTCATAGTTGGGTGTTCTTATTTTGTGGTTACAGTATTCGGTCAGATCTCATCAAAGATACTGATTAGAATTTTTAAAAAGTTTCCCCAGCTTCTTAAATTATCTTTGTTTAATTGGGGGTCTGTTTGTTCTTCTTGTTTAGTTTCACTTTATTTACTTATATTTATTTCATGCACTATTATTTATAGTATTTATTTCATACAATATTAACTTTCATATTTTTTATTTAGTAAATATAAAATATAAACCCAATAAATGTAAACATAATTGGAAAAAATAGTATAATGAATTTCTATGGATTCATCAACATTCTTCTGTTCTTATTTCATCTACCCGCTCCACCCTCTCTGCCTTTTCTATTTTGACTAAAACAGATTTCTTACTCCTATAAAACATATATATATATAAAAAATTTCATTTGCAAATATTTAAATATCTCATGCCCATAAATGTGGGCATAAAAAATAAATATAGCACCATTATCACATCCAACAAATATATCCAACACAATATTTTATTGTGCCTGCTAATATTCAGTTTTCTTTAAAATGTCTTTCTTGAGTTGGTTGGTTTGAATCAGTTTCCAAAGACTGCTTAATGCATTTAGTTCTTAACTCTTAATCTACAACAGTGTTTTCCTCTCTCTCCATACTACACCATTTATTTTTTATAGAAACTGGCTTGTTTATTTAGTAGAATTTCATACATTTGGCTTTGGCTGATTATATCATTGTATTATTTATCGTGTTTTTCAGTCCTCTGTATTTCATACTTACTGGCAGTTAGAACAGAGGCTTGATTGGATTCAGCTTATCTTACAGATTACTGAATTTCTCTGCTTTTTCTGTGGCTTCTTATTGTCCATTCGTAGTTGTAAAAGAAAGTCAGACTCACTTGTTTTGAAAGGTGGGGGGTGCCTCCTTTTGGAAGATGTGGATGGTAAGAGTCCACTGCAGAGAGGGCAGGAATCAGCCAGAAGTCTTGTTCTTTTTCAGGTATAGATGGAAAGAATGTGGCTCCTTGGCTCCATGTTAAGGAGAAAAGAAGTCGAGGTGACCTCAGAGGAAGAGGATGTTAGGGGAGTTCTGTGCCAGTTGAGCCTGTTGGGTTTTGTGCGTTTTGCCTCCTTCGCTGTGGCCCGGAATTGGCTGCTGCGTTGCCCAGTTTTTCTCTCTCTGTTGCATGGCTGTGGGACTACACCAACTGAAGCTGGACAGTTCTTACTTACCGGGGCCTGGAGGCAAGCCCCAGAGCCGCCTGCTCTGAGGAGCCTGAGCAGAGCGTGGGCCCATCTCTTCTTGAAGACCTTGGCTAATTTATACTCTTGGTCTCTCCTTGACCCGGGGGGTGCAGATTTTCCGTGGCTGTTGCGACAACTCTACTTTTCAAGACATTCTTTGGTTTTCTTATTTTTTGCTTTCAAATGAGTGACCTCTGACGGTTGTGCTGTCAGTCTTATCCTATGTACTGTACCTTTTTAGATATAGCTTCTATTTGTCTACTAACAAAATTGTCTGTTTTTCTTTTAATTTAAGAAGGAAGAAGAACTAAATACATCACAGTTTTGCTATCTTGAACTGAAATTCTCATGATTTATTTTTATATACTATTTAACTCACCTTCAGAGCAAACCCATGGCTTATCAGAAATTGTAGGCATGGATAATCCCTTCTTCCATAAAGCAATCATACTTACTTAAACTTTTGTTCCCCATTACAGATGTTAAAAAATATTACTTGGTATTCAGAGCGGGTTTTAACTGAAATTTCACTGGGAAGTCTCCTGATACTGGTTGTAATAAGAACCATTCAGTACAACATGACAAGGACAAGAGTAAGTATTCCTTAGCTATTTTTCTACCTTTGTATATACAATGCAATGAAGACTATAGTTTAAAGCAGTCTCAATATTTAGAGTGCTAACATTCTCTTGGAGTATGGTAGAAAAGTATAGATCAGCATATATTCTCTGTATTATGATCCTAAGGTAATGTTTCTAGTGTCTGCATCTGAGTATTTCATAGGTTGTATGATCAGAGAGATTTTACATGGATAGAAAATAAGCGGTGTAGCAACTTTGCCTTTGCCAAACTGATAAAACTGACTTAAGTTTAAGAAGTGGCAACAACAAACTTTAAGAAGATGCAGACACGAGAAAATATGAATTCAGATGGGACAGAAGCATAGAAAAAAAGAGAATATTTTAAAGAGTGAAAGGAAAATTTGAACTAGGTTGTATTTGGTATAGCTTAGAGCAGATGTCAGCTCCAGCCACTAGAGAAGTAGTATACAGAATTCATAGCTCAGGGAAATGGTCAAGTTTACTGCACCATTTTCAGTTACTCCCTTCTGGGAGGCTGACGTAGGTACATGTCTACAATCTTTTATCTGAAACTCTATAGGTCCACAGTCTTTTATCTGAAGCTATTGGGTCCGCATGTGTGTTTTAGAATGGAGATTTTTTTTATTTTAGAAAGATAATTATAGTTCTTATGCTACACAATATGTAATCGTTAGGTACTGGAGCCGCACACTGTAACTAGACATTAATATTTCTGCAGTGAAATATTTCATTCTTCTCCAGGGTGGGCTTAATGAAGACCATAAATACCATCATCGTCTTTTGTGCCAGATGTTGCTTCCAAATTAGTGGTGAAAAAACTTTCTGCACTTTACGGGTTTTGGAATTAAAAGAAACAGATTGTGGGTCTGAATTCTCTGAAATTAGTGACAGTTGACTTTCCACTTGCTTCTGGTTAACCTTGCTGAAAATGTCTAGAAGACCTGATGTGTGTTTTAAACTTCTGCTCTCTGATGTGTGTTCTAAACGTCTGCTCTCTGGCAGGACAAGTACCTTCACACAAACTGTCTGGCGGCTTTAGCGAATATGTCTGCGCAGTTTCGTTCCCTCCACCAGTATGCTGCCCAGAGGATCGTCAGGTAAACACAGCTAAGACAGAGATGCTGGTTTGGGCTTTTTGAAAAGAATACTATGGTGGTCCCTTTTAAAAGGCTATCTAGGAGGAATATCACATTTTTCTACTTAATTTTTAATCACATTCTTGTTTGGTTGAAAATACCTTGTTCTGCTTTGTTTTCTAACTCAGACTTTTAAATCAAAGTCAGTCGTATTTGCTTTCAACCTTTTTATAAAAATCTAGGTTTAAGCTTGTGTGATAGCCTTTTGCAGAGGAGCAGGTCTATTTCTTAGTAATGCAAACTAAATCTTGATTCACATATTTGCTGAGCATCACTCTGCCCTTTTAAAAAGGAGTTATCTACTTGTTTTAGAGAATTTTTTTTCATAGCAGTTAACCATTTTATTATTTCCAGTTGCTGGAGAAGGAAATGGCAACCCATTCCAATATTCTTGCCTGGGAAATCCCGTGGACAGAAGAGCCTGATGGGCTACAGTCCATGGAGTTGCAAAGAGTTGGACATGACTGAAGCAACTAAGCATGCATGCATGCATTGCTGCCATAATGGATTACCACAAATTAGTGGCTTAAAACAGCACACATTGTATGGCAAAAACCACTACAATAGTGTAAAGTAATTAGCCTCCAATTAAAATAAATAAATTTAGAAAACACATTTATTATACAATTCTGTAGGTTAGACATTCAACAGGGGTCTCACCAGGCTAGAATCAAGATATCAGGAGGGCTGCATCCTTTTCTGAAGGCCCTCGAGGAGAATCTCTTTCCTTGCCTTTTCCAGCTACCAGAAGCTGCCCACATTCCTTGGCTCATGGCCCCTTCCTGTGTTTTCAAAGCCAGCAACAGTATGTTATTGAGTCTTCCTCACATCTCATCACTTCAGTGACTTCTTCTACTTTGAGGACTCTTGACCCTACCTGAATAATGTAGGATGATCTATCCACCTCAAGATCCTCAGCTGAATTGTAACTAGAGTCCCTTTTTCCTTGTAAGGTCAAATATTCATAGGTTCATGAAGGGTAGATGTGGACATTCTGAGGGAGCCATTACTCTACTTGTCAAACATCGCCAGACACTCCCATCCCTTTCCTATTCTTTGCCAAAGACAATCTTTCAGGTTAGGAAAACTAACAAGTCAATGAACGAATATCATTTGCAAGATTTAACAAATATGGGTACTTTTTCATCTTTAGGCAGGATGCTCAGTATTGTCCTTGCAACTCCCAAGCAGAACATTTGTTATGTATTCAGTGATACTAGATCCTTTCTTTTAATTCTTGATTTTGAGGCAGTGTAGACCTAATGATTAGTTATGTTCCAGTCATTGGTGATTATCACAACTCCATGTCACTTTTAAACTCAGATCTCACTTTCCATCTTTTGGTTAGAGACAGTTATTGACGTGGGCTCATTTTTAATAATTAGTCATAATTAACTTATGTTCTTAGTCTATTTGTCTTCAGAATTTAGCACAAGATAATTTTCTTTGACTCACTGTTTTAATAGTACACTATTTTGAATTTTATTTTATTTTTTTGGTTTGTACTTGAGAGATTGTCCATTTGACTGAGTTTGGATTAAACTTTGGAGCTCAACTTTCTGTGCTGACTAACGTAGAAAGCCAACAGTATTTGGAGAAATAAGAAATGTCATTAAATTTGTGATTTGGGAATATTTATATCAAGTTTATTATCATTAAGGAGTAGTGCTTTAATTCATTTGACTTATTGGAGCTGTTTTTTTTTAGTATTTAGTGCACAGCTGTGTTAGACAGTGCAAAGGGTATCAAAATTAGTTATAAGAATTCCTACCCTTACATAGCTTGTAATTCAGTAGCCAAGATAAGACAGAAAACCAACATATGTTAAATTCCAGCAGAATGTAGTAAATATTAGAGTGCAAAGAAAAATCTCTGCAATGAGTGTGAGGGGTTGGTTCAGAGAATGGTGAGGTCACATCTCACTAAAAAATTGGGCAAAGTAAATAGAGAGGGACAGCTCTAGAGACTGCCCTGATAGGGGAAAGCATCAACCAAACAACCCAAAACAAGAGGTGAGAGAGCATGGTTTACATTTAGAAGATAACCACTTAATTCATTTGGTGTGTTGTGGACCGGTGCAGGGATTACAGGAGAGAAGCTTGGAAGAACCAGCTGGGTCCTTCTTGCGGAGGGGTTTGGATTGCTGTTGGATTCACAGTTCAGGATAATGGAAGGAATAGAAAGAAAAGAAGGTCTCATTTTCTATACCAACAAAAAAACAAACAGGAAAGTCAATGAATGAGTTGTATATGGATTTGAAAAGAAAGACTTTAAATGTGTAGAGTTATCAGTGTTAGCAGCTGATGTTGGTCCTGTTGTGTGTTACACTGAAGGCCGTGCAGTTCTCACGGTTCCCCAGTGCGGTCAGTGCTTCTGGTTCAGGCGCCACAGTGGAGTAGCTAGACCAGAGCATTTGTATCATGTTGGAGGGAACTTGTTAGAAAGGCAGAACGTTGGCCCAACTTCGGATCTGTTGAATCAGAACCTTCCATTTCTACAAGATCCCTGAATTGTTTGTTCATGCCTTAAAGTTTGGAAAGTACTGAGAGTTTGGGCTTAGAAATAAGATTTAGTTCCTTAGGAAACACTTGTCTTGAATTGGAAGTGGGAGCAAGCTTTTTTTGTATCTTGAGGAAACTCATTCTCCACTAAATGTTTGTGTTTAGGATATGAAATTGTAAAGTGTAATGAAGAATGCATAACCCAGAACTGTTTAGATACCTAGGAGATTTATTAGAGCAGCACAGCTCACCAAATGCTGTAGCAGCTCCTTCAAGTGAGAAGTCATTAGTTTTCACACTTACGTTTCCTAAATCCTTTTTTAGGAAGAGACTGCACAGTTTTGTATCCATCATTTGCAAAGCTTAGAGGAGTCAGTATTTCATGTGCTCATCAACAAAATGCAAAACAGAATAACGTGTTTCATTGCTGTGAAAGTTAGATGTGAATAAAGCTTTAAAAAGTCTTCTTAGCCGGACATAAATAGATGGAATGATTTCATATGATAACTAAGGTGTTGTTTCATATTAAATGACACTGTGTCTTCCACAAATCCTTGGTATTCTAGAGAAACTGCAAACATATATGGATGGGTATTGCTCACCTGTGAAATTTTTTGAAAGTACTGTGAGTGTGGATATTCAATATGATCATTATTTGGAACTGTAGGGTTATTAATTCAGTTAAAATATTGATGTGGAGTAGATTGTATGCAAGAGATTGTTGTGAGTTACAAATACATTATCATGTACTTCTTGCCCTTAAGACTTTCCCTGTTGCCTCTCTCATCCCATCACCTCCTCCCCCACGGCTCCTTCCTCTGGCTCCTCCAGCTTTGGCCTCTGGTAGCTCAGCTGGTAAAGAATCCGCCTGCAGTGCAGGAGACCCCAGTTCAGTTCTTGGGTTGGGAAGATCCCCTGGAGAAGGAATAGGCTACGTGTTCCAGTATTCTTGGGCTTCCCTAGTGGCTCAGATGGTAAAGAATCCACCTGCAATGCGGGAGATCTGGGTTTGATCCCTGGGTTGGGAAGATCTCCTGGAGGAGGACATGGCAACTGACTCTAGTTTTCTTGCCTGGAGAATCCCCATGGACAGAGCAGCCTGTCAGGCTACAGTCCATGAGGTCGCAAAGAGTCGGACACGACTGAGTGACTAACACACACATACTTTTCTCCAGTATTTCATATTGGGTTCTTCTCTCTTTGCTCATTTCCCTTGGGAGTTCATATCTGTGCCTGTGACTTTACCTACTGTGCGCTTTTATACTGAAAACCATCCGGATCTACATTTATAATCCCAGTCTTTTCTCTTTTTTCCTGAGGCAGGCAGTACAGTGTAGCGGTTAAGAGCACAGACTCTGAGTTTGGGACCTCAGCTTCAAAACTGACTAGCCGTGGAATCTTGGAGAAGTTACTTCATGGGGTGACAGTAGTTGCTATCTCAGTGAATATTTGTAAAGTGATGCGTAGTGTTCACCATGTAAGTGCTGGTCACATTAGCCCTGGCTCTTCTAACTTTGTACTTGGATGTTCCATACTTTTGTCAGACTTTTATTATGTTTAAAACAAAATTCATTTTTGAACGTGCTCTTCCTGTTGAATTCCCTACCCAAGATAATGTCCCTCACTGCAGCCATCTAAATTGCCAAGTCAGAAACCTACAAATGATTCTGTAGTATTTATTCCTTCTCGTCAAATGCTCTCTCTGACTGGGCCCTGGCATTCTTAACTCTATCTTTGTAGCTTGCCTTTATGCCCTCTTTTCTGGTTTACCCTGTCTTGGTTCATGTGTTTATCATCTTCATCCCAAGCTAGTTCTTTAGTTGCCCTTGTCCTTTTGCTTCCCTCCCAGCTCCTCTACAGTTGATCTCTGCAGTGCTCCATTCATTTGAAAAGCAAATCTGTATTGCTTCCTATACTTAAAATCCTTAAGTGGCTTCCTGTTGCCAGCTAGTAAAAATTCAGCCTCCTCAAAGTCATGGCTCTCAGACACAGGTAGTTTTTGCCCTCAGGGCACATCTGGCAACGAGAGTCAAGGTGTTTTTGTTGTTTTGTTTTCTTGCTGTTTTGTTTTTTCTGTAGGCACAACTGGGGAGGAGGTTGCTACTGACATCTAGTGGGTAGAGGCCAGGGATATTGCCAAATATCCTGTAATACACTTGACAGCAAATAACTGTCTATCCCCAACTGTCAGAAGTGCTGGGGCTGACCAGCCTTGTCCTAGAGTGACATGATCTGAGCCCTGCCCTTTGCTTTTTAAAAAAATTATTTATTTATTTATTTGGCAGCACTGGGTCTTCCCTGGGCTTTTCTGGTGGCTTAGCTGGTGAAGATCCTGCCTGCAATGTGGGAGACGTGGGTTTGATCCCTGGATTGGGAAGATCCCCTGAAGAAGGGAACGGCTGCTTACTCCAGCATTCTGGCCTGGAGAATTTCAGGGACTGTATAGTCCATGGGGTTGCA